GTAATAAACCCAACAATCTATGTATAAGCTTCTATTTTTCCCTCTCTTTTCCTTTTTCTTGCTTGGATTAGAAAGACAATATGCCTCTCTCCCTGGTCACAGGTCAGGAGTGAATTTGGGTGGTCCTCGTCAAGATCCGTGGCTAGCTTGTCAGCCATAATACTAAAGTGATATATATTTTTTTATTAAGCATTATACTACAGTACAAATATAATTCCTTTCCTTAAAACAAGAACATTGTCTTGGACGAGTCAATTCCATGCCCAGAAAATAGTACCTTAGTGTCCTCATAAATAAGAAGAAGGGATTTTGAGCTTCGAATCAACCCCTCGTAATAACACGTAGGCAAACAAATCAATTGTAGTATAAAGTTTTGAAAAATTCAAATGCAAAACTTGTTGAGATGCATCACATTGATCAAAATGACAAGATTCCATTTAAATGATTCAAATACAGTCGGATTATCTTTTTATGCAAAATGTTATTTGAAATGAGTAGTTCTTTTTGAATCATCCTACCAAAAAGCCAAAAGATGACTTTCCTCAAAACTCAGTTTTATACATGTTGAAATGATGACCCGCGGGTTGGAGTCTTTAATCAACCAACGATGTGTAAACCGTGTCAATGCACGATTTAGCATTGCTTTTCCGTTACTTAGCCATTACTTAATTTAGACAAACATATATCTCTCAATATTAACTACTACCTGTAGATAACTATGAGTAACAGAGAGATAACTGCAAATGTTACATAAAGCTTTTAAAAGCAGTCTATTTGTCAGCCCGACTTAAGGTTGCTAGTTGCTAAATGATAAAAGATCTGCTCTATCTCAAGCTGACAAAGATTTGTGTGATTCCTGGGGTATTTGGATTTCTGAATCTGGCTTAGGAGCCTTTTAGCTTTGTATAAGGTTCATTGAGATTGTTGTTGTTGCTTGTCGTCCAAGAAGCTCAATCAGTATTAGTAGTAGTAGAAGTTTGATTGCATCTTGTTTCGAAGACATGCCTCTTGTATTGAGTTTGTAGGGGAATGAGACTCTTGGGCTAGTGTTGATGTTTGCGCTATAATACTTAGTTATTGAAAAAGATAATGTGGAATAGCCTAGTGGGACTAAACGGTGGGTAGAGATTGGTTATATGCATGAGGGCATGTTTTGGCTTAATATGATTGTACATATGACGTTACTGATATGCGATTTAATTAAGGGTCCATGCCATTGTGGTGTCCTCATGAACCCCGCAATGCATTAGCTTCACCGTCCTCACACTTTCTATTTTTAAATTGAAATCAAGATTTTTCCATCAAAATTCAAGAAACTAAAATCATAGGAATGGGAACTTGGGAAAAAGGAGAAGAATGTCATCAGCAATTAGAAAGCTAGGGGAGACGCACACTGGAGCTTCCAATACAAGTTAGAGGGAAAGAAGATCAGAAATAAGGAAAATGTCTCTTTCTCTAAACTAGACTTAAATGGGTTAGTGGTCCTCGCCAAGATGTGAAGTAATTGACATATAAACCCTTCAAAACCTCATTATTTGTTATACTATCTCACATTTTGTTGTGCGAATAAATTTGGGAAGAAGATGAAAGTGAGGCAAAACTCGATTTTGGCTTAATAATATAGAAGATACATCAACATATATTCCGTAAGAAAAAAATTTGAATCATCCAATAGTCTGGCTATTGGGGTCTTTAATAGCTGCAGTTGATCCTATCCAAGTTCTTTACATTAGTTACAGGATTGGGGTGAATGTAATTGTAATAAACATGTATGGAGACTTTTCGGCAGAGGCCATAGAAAAAGCAAAGAAAGATAAATGAAAGGTAGAGTCACTCAAAATTGGAATTGGTAATGAAAGAATAGCCAATGAACCCTCATTCCATATCCATAGATTAATCGCCGAAATCATGTCACAATCAAGCAAGTATTAGTAGAACTTCATACAATTGCTTAAGCGATAAACATTTTCATCTTCTTCACTCAAAACTTGGATTCCTGTGAGCACGCACCATGTCTCTATGTCTCCAATAATTTATCTTATGCGTATAACCCGAGTGGCTACTACATTCATTGAAAATTAGTAAAGTGCACAAATAGTTATTTTTTTTGTTTTTGACTTTTTGCTGCTCGATGAGTAATTACAATTATCAATATCGTTGAGGGCATTTAAATGTATTCCTGTCATAATCAGTCAGTTAGTGGGGCTAGTGTCAATTTCAATACTTCTTTTTCTATATGAAATATGATTGACTTGATTTGTTTAAATTAGTAAATGAAATGCTCATATTTACTCAGAGAGGAAGAGAAAGAAGCAAGCGATTTGGTGCTGAATCATCTCTTAACCTCTATATTGAGTGGTAGAAAATAAATAAGCTTCATTTTATGGAATTACATTATCGAAATTAACAAACAAAAATCACTATTTTTCCAATATAAAGTAAAGAAAGGCTACCCCGACTTGATAAGCTTGCTACTTGAAGTAGGTTAAAAAGTGGTGTATACTGCAATCTACATGGTGTATACTTCCCCTTCTTTGCAATTCAAACTCTTTTGGTGTGCTATGCATATCGCGAATGCGATTATCAGATAAAAAATGTTAGGCTTGAATGGTTGCAAATCTGTCTAAGCTAGATCCAAATCGGCTCATAAATAGCTCTCTGAAGTAGTTAGGCAATTGGGGTCTTGAATATTGTGGGAGGATTCATGAGCTGTGTCTCGTATTATACAACATCCTGATAAGCAATAATGATGAATTTAAAATAGAACAAAAAGAAATGATAAGCTAAAGTAAACATTTGTATTCATTCATCCATAAAATTCTCATGGTAATATTTTCGAGGATTCCTAGTGCTGCCAGTACTCATCCACCCATTAAGAGAAACACATAACTCGATTTTAGGGTTGTGCAGACTTTTTATGGAAAAAGAAGAAGGTATTTTTCACTACTAACTTATGAAAAAAGTGATCGGTTTAAAGAAAACAGGAAAATGAGTGTAAGACATAATGGCAGATAAGAGAGGACCAAGCGTTCGATTCGACTTTGGAAATGACTTTGAATCTCTAAAAGACCACTCGGCAACTTGCTAAGAAGTTTAGCAACTTTTTGGGAGAGCATTTGGGAGATGCATTGAATTTTCAAAATCCTCCAAATGCCCTCAACCCAGAGCAAGTCCTACCCAATTTTGGGCTTTGAACATTCCTGGAATGATCATGCATTTTCTTTCTTCCAACTTTGCACTCACTAAATTTTCAAAATCTTAATTTTACCATCACCATTTTTCGCTATGTAGCATCGCGTGACATTGCCAACATGCCCAGATCTGACTAGGAATGAGCGGTTGCAAGTTCCATACAGGTTTCACCTAGAGCCTCAAACCTATTTGTTGGAACATGTTTCTCATTATTTGGAATCTGGAACCTACCCTGCATATCTTGGAACCTGGAACTTATCCTATCACAAGTTCCAAGGTTTACTTAGGTTCAAAGGTTTACCCTGGTTCCACCTATATCATTAATTGAATGATTGTAGTTAAACATCATATTTTATGATCACCACTTGTTGCTACAATCTACTAACCACAACCTATATTTAGACACGCGAAAAATATAAAAGATTAATAAAGTAAAAGTCTCGGTCATAAAATGGAAGCTTAGATCAGTGGTTCCAGATTATATACTCATCATCGGATGCCATGGAATACTGCAAAATCACGCGAAGATATAAATCAAGAAAAATACAAAAACTTATTACAGATTTGACCTACTTAGAACTTAGAACTACCTGTTGAAACATGTTTCTTAATTTTTGGAACCTGAAACCTACATCGAATACTTTGGAACTTGAAATCAACCGGTTTCTACCAGTCCGATTTTCAACTTCCAGACCCCTAGATCTGATCGCCAGCAAGACTTGCCTAAGGGCTGCTTGCTCGCTTGGGGTCACGCGAACTCAAGTAACCCTCGCCTACGGTTGTGTGGCCTCAAACTATAGCCGCCGATCCTAAATCTAGCTCGCTGGCATTTGATTTCTTATTTATTTATTTATTTAAAATATATACATAAAGTCCTTTACAAGTTTAGATTTCTATTTAGTGATTCCCAAAATACTTTCAAATTACATTTTACCAAATATTATTTACATTTAAAAAATAATAATTTGACTTAAAATCTTTGCATTTCTTTCGAGTCAAACGTAAGAGAGCTCATTCTATTGGCCCAAATAAATAAATAAATAAAAATAGGGTGTCTTTCCATTGGTCGAGTGGAGGCCCACCGACTTTAAGTGATAGATAATTTTTCCCACTTGTCGACGTCCCATTGGTTAACTGGTACGTCATGGTACGATGATGTCGACAATTCCCACATTTATCGTACCACCTTTTTCCCTTGATTTTTTACCGTTTCGTTTTTTGGTGCTCTCTCTTTCGCATGTCCCACAGCCCAATGCTAAAGCTGAAACCCACTGTAAAATATATGTTCTTTCAAAAAAACAAAATATCTTCTCTCTTTCTCTCTCTGTATCTCTCTATCTTTACTCTCTTTTTCTCAATTTTACCAAAACAAGATAACCCATCTGCGTCTTTGAATCTTCTTTACCAAATTAACCATGCCGTTTCGGTCGAACTTGGATGCTTTGCTTTCCTTTTTTGCTTGTATTTCCTTCTTATGGGTACATCACACCATATTTGACCAGCGTAGAACATCGTTGAATTGGAATAATAGGATCTTTTTTTCCTTTTATGTTTGTGGCCACAAAATAATTAGAGAGATCTATCAACTGCCAGTAGATCCTTTGCGTTGATTCTACTTTCTTTGTTTTCTTGTCTTTGCCCTCTCATCTCTCTCTAGGGTTTCTGATTTTGTGACAAAGAGAAGAGAATACGCTGGGCAAATCTATAATTCTCCGACCATTGACTTTGTGAAGTCTTTATCCTGTGGTTTTCGCTTGTGTTCGAATGATGATATGGTCCATTTCTGTTTGATCAAAAAGTGTGATTAGTCTTGCAGTGTTTTTAGCTTCTCAAGTACTTCAGTCTAAAGTCTAGACAATAGAAGGAGGATAAAAAGATAAATCTTCAGCTGGTTGAAGCTGCACAAAGTCCTTGGTGAGTTGTGGTTTTTGATCTTTGAGGTATATTTTTTGAGTTCATCGCTATGTTTGAGTACTTGTTACTCTAGGGTTGATAAACATTATGTATGTAGGGAGAATTCAATCATGGCGAGAGGCAAAATTCAGATGAGGCGAATTGAGAACGCGACGAGCCGGCAAGTCACCTTCTCGAAGCGCCGGACCGGACTGCTGAAGAAAGCTTACGAGCTTTCGGTCCTCTGCGACGCCGAAGTCGCCGTGATCATCTTTTCCCAGAAAGGAAGGCTTTACGAGTTCTCGAGCAATTCCGAGTAATGTTCCTCTACTGGTTTTTCGATTTCCTGAGTTGATTTTAGATGGCGAACATGATTGAGCCTTGTTAACATTCTTATATCCAAAATGAGGGCGTATCCACATATATATGCTGTGTTTGTAAAGTGTAGATAAGGGACAGCATCATGGCATGGGTTTTTTCTTATCCTCCTTTTCTTTTCTATCATTTTTGGTTTTGGTCAAATGTTTAGTGCTTTTCCCCTTAGATCATGGACTGAACCCACCATGATGACCAATCTAGTTCTCAATTTTAAAAACAACATGACTTCTGTTCAGATATCCTAATCGAAAGTAGCTGAGATAAAATCTATATTCTCGCATTTTTTTTGATAGTCAATGTACTGAGGCATACCTAAATCAAATGGCTAGATGCGGGGGATTTGATGATCAAAAGCATTCATTGTGTACGCTGTTGCATTGGAGTTGGACTCTCTCTTTCTTAATGGTCCTTATGAGTAAACTAATTGTTGAATATCTTGCAAGTACTGATGTCCTCCAGCTACTTCACATGTTAGGATAATTAGTACTTTGTCTTGGGGAATGAAACATTATTTGATGTTCGAGAAACTAGGGACTGATATTGTTTGGTTCTTCTGGTTTTGACTGGTAACAATTTAGCCTTCACCCCAATTCCATATTTATATGCAATGGACGTGCCGTATAGTGTTACTTTTTGAAGTGTAATAGGTTTTAAGGCTGCTTCTAGGGATTGATCTCCATTAACTAATGCTTGGGGCATGATGATGATAAGCGTATACACGGTTAGATATTATTCTACTCGAAGTAGATCTTTTCCAAACAAATTTGATTGCTTGGAAAATTGTTGAAGAGAACCAAACTTCATTTGAAAAGGGTGAAGCCTTCAAACCATATCTTGTTTGATTCAGTTTGTTGTAATTATACCACTTGGACATGAATTGAGACTATTTTATGGACCCTATCTGATAGTTCTTATCTTACAAATCACACAAATCCGTGTTTCAAGTTTATGACCATACCACAAGGCAAAAACTAGAAATTTCATTTGAAACACATTATATTAGTTGGGAAATCGAATAATGTGTTATCTATCTACCACCATAATCAAGAAGCATTTCAAATGTAACATAAAGCATTTTGTTGGTATATTGGCTGCTTCGCGGTTCATTGAAATCGAAACTTGAAGCATAATCAATCTATTTTCCAAATTAAACAAAAGCTGCAAAAGATATTCAACTCGATTTTTTTATGGTACTTTAACCCTAAACAAAAGCCTGTGAAACCATCCTGACGTTTTCAAATATATGTACTTTTGGTTTTATGGTGCTTTGAAGGGTGAATAAATTATGGGCTTGACTACATTTGTGTACTGCTGATGTTATGGGATCGAGTGCACTCTCTAATATCAAAGAGTAAGGCTAACATGACACAATACACTGATCTCTTGGATTTCTTATTCATAGAGTATTTATGTCAAAAAGTGACTGCAATCGCACATGTTTGCCATTTTAGTTGCTCCACCTTGTAAGTACTCACTGTTCTTCATTTACCGGGAAAAAAGTACTTGAAGTCACAAGTTAAATGTAGGTGCAACTGTTTGCTCTTATAATTCCTCCGAGAAGTGGTAAGTCATACTACTGCTTCACAATGCAACTGATGATTTTACATGCATCATGTGCTGTTCTTACTTCTTACTGACATGGAGTGGCATGTTGAATTCCGAAGCCTTTGAGCTTTGGCAAAAAACATTTAGTTTGTTCACTGTGCACTCACGTGCGACTATACTTCACCAGCACACATAATATACTTTTATAGCGTGAAAGTGGACGTTTACACGCTACGATTTGAAGAAAAATATTGCTGGCATGATTATTTACATAGTATAAGGTGGCAGCCAAGACTTTCCAAGTTCTTCATTTTATTGCAAGTAAGTTGCTTAGAGACTTAAAGCTTCTTGCGGAGGCCTAAGCCTCTTCCATATTCTATATGCGAGTGACAAGGATATATATTCACGGGAAGTCGGCATGATTCACAAAAATGATCATCAATTTGTTTAATGCTCGCTTACTTTAGTTTTAATGATACCTGATTAATTTGGAGAATGCATTTCCGGTGGCTGAGCTCATATGCTGTCTTTGCAATTTTTCAGAATCCGAAAGACAATTGATCGATACCGTAAATCTGTAAATGATGCGGATACATACCAGGCTAATATGGAACAACATATTCTGGTCAGTGCTCTATCCTTTCCATGATGCTACATTAGGTGCATTCATAAGAATTTCAGCGAGGCTCTCGGTTTAATTAAACAAGTTGCCACATTTGTTAGGCCCAAGAAGTCGATAATGTGGGACTAGTAATCTTTCAAGCATTTATGCACAATTGGTTGAAGTCAAGCAAGTTGAGCACTTAGCTATTTATTTATTTTGATGTATAAAAGAAAGCAACTTCCTGCTTTTTTTGGTGTGGATTAACATATTACATCACAGTACATAATTTTTTCCATAGGACTTACGAAAAATCAGACTTATCTAACATACGGACACAAAAGGCTGAAAATCTTATTTTCCCCAGCAATCTTATAATTTAGACACGCGCGTACATCAAGAGTCACCTCATATGCTGAGAATCGCGCATAAATCTACAAGTGTGCACAGTTTAAATGGATCACTAGCACCACAAAGTAGGGATCATACTAGTGATGATGATATAGTTGAAAAAAGAGAGATAGGGTTGAATGACGTTCAATTACCAAATAAATCTTTAAGATGGTGAGTTTTCTCTCAGTGAGAAGGTATATATATCCAAGAAGTTGCAGACAAACTTATGTTGTCCCAAATCAATTATCGCATTTCCTTTTGATCAGTTCAAGTGAAACCGTAGAATGAAGAAATAGCTACCTCCGTGAGAGGGACAGCTATCGTCTTCACATACTGATTAACTGTCAAATGCTAAATCTAAAATCATACCAGGCTCGATAAAACTAAGCGGAGGAAAGGTTTTGAGTAATTTTTTCTCATTCTTCTTGTTTAAAAAAACTATATCTTTTTAATTTATTATACATCTAATTCACAATTTCCAACTTGCAAGGGACTAGCTTACAACCTTTATTCTACTAACCGTCTAAATAGATACAGAAAAATTTGGATCATGTACCTTCCTATTTCGTGCAGATCAAAGACTTTTTCTCTTTGTATTCAATTTCATAATTTTCTTGTTTGATGACGATGCTTCTTTGTATGGCTTATATGCATTGCAAGAGATGAAAAGAGATGATCTCAATTCTCAATGTGTTACTTCAAACTTTGGATTCAATTCCAATTTGATCTCAATATGATATTTCGGATTATTTGAGTTGTGGTTTCTCACAACATCCATCTTCACCAAAGCTTGGTAGAAACATCAATATTTCAAATATCAACTTAGTAAATCCTTTTGTCCGCTTCAACAGAGTATCTCCATTGATGGGAACACTAACATGGAAGGCATTCATGGATACATCTTTTGGCTGAGTCACAGCAGTATGCGTTTCACTTTGAAAAAATGCACGTTCACAATGTTAAATATATCTATAGGATACACGTGTTTTGGTACATGAGAGATGCTTCATGGTTCTTAAGCATGAGGAATGCTGGGTATACTCTCTACATTGGTTTGCTAAGCGATGTGGCATTGCCTGAGTGTTAGTTAAAGTTAGTAAACTCATTGAGTATCTATTAGGATTCTACGTCATCGCTTAGTGCACAAATTTAGGAGATGAGTCTTAATATGTCTAAAATTATTTTTTAAATATGCATTATCTCTGATGAACCCAATTCTAGAAAAATCATCCAAATTTTACACTTTAAGGCACGTCAAGTATCTCATAAGAAATTTTAGTCTAGTGCAGGAGGGAATAATTTGAGAGAGCCATCAAAGCTGTGCTATCAAAGTGCTGTTATGGTTAGATAAAGGACTTGTACTATAATTGCAAGCCATACCACTCTTATTCATGCGGTTTGGCAATGACTGGGAAGAAGAGAGGAGAAACTGCTGATATATATACAGAGACAAATAGGTTTCAAGTTAATTAATACCTTAAAAATGCTAATTTGTTCTTTGTACATGTCCACAGGACATTAACTTGTCCTTTAAATGCTTTCAGCTTCTAAAATCCTTCTCGTCATCCACCGCTTGATACCTCGAAAACTTGCCCTCCATGGGCATTTACATCTTATTGTTTTCTCGAAGGAAGTTTCAAAAGTGATTGTTGGTGTGAGTGAACCTATATATATGTATTTCCAGATTGTAATAATATACTACCTTGTTCTTGATAATAACCCTAATCTCGATCTCAAGAATTACTGAGGTGGTGAGCCATAGAATCAACTATGGTTTAGATTGTCCAGCTACAAATTGTGCAAGAGCATTGGGGTTCTTGTAGTAGCAATCTTAGTTTTGCAGGATCCTGTGGTGTTACAGATTTGCTCACTGTGATCGGTTTTATCCATTGCATGATTTCACATATGTTCAGTTTATATTGCTCCGTTCAGTATATTCATAAATATCACAATCTCCATAAATGCGCAGCATCTGAAGCAAGAAACCATGGATATGGAGAGGAAGATTGAGCTTCTTGAAGTTTCTCTACGGTCCACAAATTTTGAGACTTCTGTCTTATAAATTGTGGTTTGAAATGGATCCCTGATATCTAATTCCCTAAACTATGGTACTTTTCTTTTTCTAATCAGGAAGCTATCAGGACAATGTCTTGGATCTTGTTCGATCGACGAAATCCACATGATAGGGGATCAGCTCGAGCGAAGTTTGAGCAGCGTTAGGGCGAGAAAGGTACATGCCTCTTTGGCATAGTTGTCCTTTTCTCTATGCCTAAAGATGTCTTGGGAGCTTTTCATCGAGTAGCCGCTGTGTTTGGAGGCATGGAGATGGTGAGAAGTGAAAGAAAACAAAGAGAACATTTTCCCACAAACGACTAACGAGACTGACCTAATAAATACAGGAATCGAAACATCAAGTTCAATAGAGACTGCAATTGCATTGTAAGATTGAAACTGAATAGACTATAACACGTTAAACTTGGAAATGAATGAAAGCACATTGATAAATCACATTCATAAATCACCCTTTTTCTTCATTGTTGTTGACCTGTTCTCTTTTTCCTATAAACAAGGAAAGGATCATGGTTATTTTTTTATTATTATTTCCCCCCAGAGTAATTTGGATGATTCTTTTGTTCCTTTTCCAAAAAAATTGGATATTTTATCAAGCCGGTAAACTTTTGAAAGAGTCGTATGTGACAATAAAACTGTGATAGAAAAAAGTTTCCGGTTAAGTGATTCCTAAGTAACCTATTGACTTATTAACACTTTTATGAAATCACCAACTCCTTTTGACAATGTCCTATAGTTATTTGGATGACTCTGTTGTTCCTTTTCCAAAAAAATTGGATATTTTTTTCATGCCGGTAAACTTGTGAAAGAGTTGTACATGACAATAAAATTGTGATAAAAATTTTCCGGCTACTTGATTCCTAAGTAACTTATTGGCAACTTACCGACACTTGTATAAAATCACCAACTCCTTTTGAGAATGTGCAAATAATCAATTTTTCTTATTTTTTATTAACTTTTATTTATTTTTTCTTACCATTCCTTTAAATATAATAGCTTTTGTATAAATTCACCATATTTATTTAAAAGACTCGCCAACTTATTTTTTCAAATAAATTATTTACTCTTTTTGGCTTACCAAGTTTCGTGTGAGTTATTTACCAACGTTTATTTGATTTTTCTTAATTTATCAACTTTTGTTATCGGTTGACAATTTTTGTTTGTCTTACTTACATCCAATTTCAGAAGTCTCTTTTATGAATTTACAAATTTTATTTGTGTAACTTATCAAATTTTCTCTCACTAGGTTAACAATTAATTTTGACTTACAATCTGTCGACATTTATTTGGTTTTTTTAAAAACAATTACGTAGTATTCTATTTAGTTACCGACTTTTATTTACCTTACTCACGAACCCAACTTGAAATTACCAATCTTAATCATAGCAACTGCCAAATTCTACATCATCGACTTTTACTTGATTAGTTGCAGAGTTTATTAGGTTTTGTTAAATGACTAACTTCTTTTATCTTTGACCCAAAAAAACTTATGTTATCTTTGACCAACTTTTTATTTACTTTTCCTATCTACACCTTAAATTAACCAACTATTACATGAAATGGGTAATGACAACACCGGTCCTTGAACTTCTGCTCAATATTCAATATGGACCTTGAATTTTTTCTCTGTGTCCTATGTGAACCCTATACTTTTTAAAATTGGTGCAATGTGATCCTTCTGTTATATAGATTAACAAAAACTACTGACGTGCCACTTGAGGCAACTAACCGTGTCCAAGTTAGCATCTGACTTGTCAATTGGACGGTCTAAAAAAGTTGATAATCAATGAAATTAAAGTTAGTGATTTCATATTTGAGTTGGCAAGAAATAACTCAATTGGACGGAAAGTAGAAAATTTACGATGTAAATGCATGAAATGAAAGTTTTGTGACTCAAATGCACGATGTTGACTAGTTTTAGAACTTGCCCTATAATTATTCCAAAGTATAATAACCCAAAACTATCCGGTAACTTCATTGAAGAAAAGTTCGTAAGTCATTTTAATTAAGTCTAGTAATTTTAAAAAGAGTTGGTAAATTTAAGGCATTGCTAAGAAATGCAAATGAACGTTTGTAAACAAGAAGGTTGGCAAATTAAAGAAACCTAATAAATATCGTTAAATTACCCAAATAAGAGTCGGTGGCTCCACAATATAAGGTAAAAATTGGTAATCACGCTAATTTAGGTTAGTAATCTCCGAATACAAGTTGGTAATTCAATATAAAAGTTGGTAAAATTTAAAAAAAAACTTACATGTTAGTAAGTCAAATGAATACTGATAATCTAAAATTGGTTGGTAATTTATTCTGACAAAAGTTAATTAGTTACTAGAATTTAGATTGGTAATTTCAGATAAACTCAAAGTGTTAATAAGTTATGAAAGTAAAAATTGATACATTAGTACAAAATTTGGTAGTTTATGAAAGAATTGGTGATTTACCAGTAAATTGCCTTAAAAAAATTCATCAGTCATTTTAACCAATAGTTTCTCGACACTTATTAACACTAATTGAAACTTACCGACTTGAAAAAAATCCGTATTCTTAGGCACGGAACAATAGAATTCTGGAACTGATTTTAGTTCATTAACCTCACTGATTTCTGTCTACAACTTCTCCCTGAAACTGTGTTTCTGGACAAGTTGCAAAGCATTGTCCTTTCATTTCTATTTTTCATCATCTCAACTTATTTTCTCATTTTTTTCCTTTTACCAAGAAAGATATGTGCACAACATGCACACACATGAAAGTTAAAATGTTGATCTAATTTACAGGCTCAATTATTCAACGATCAGATACAGCAGTTACAAGCAAAGGTAAGTGGAGTAATATGATGAATGCATGTCCAATCTCATCAGGCATTGTTAAATTCCCAGTTATATTAATCTAGCAACTTTGTTTGGTGTAATTCAGGAGAGATCTCTGAAAGAAGAGAATGCAAAGCTTCTTGCTAAGGTGAACCCTCTTTCTCTTCTACGCTTTTATTGCCTTCCTATTACTAGCCATGCATCACCACTCTTCTATGCATAAATTAACCACTTTCCACAAACTAGTGAAACCTACAATAGAATCTCTCAATGAATTTCACGTATGATCTAGCAGCGCAGTTTTATGATCTTCTAAGACCAGAGAGGTCTTCAATGATTAAGAATGTTTCTTGCCCTAATGTTCCAATAGGCTTGTGTAGTGAAGGAGCTTGTTGCTTTTGTCCATCAGACCAACATTAGTAGATTTAGTGCTGCACAGTTTAATGTACTGGTTAAATGTGCTGGTCATGAGTTTGTCTTGCTCTCTATTAGTCCTGGTGTTAGAACCTTTAAAGAGTACTGCAACATGATCAGCTTTTATGAAAAGGACAATGCATAAGGAGAGATGCTTACTTTTAGGGTTCTGTACTGGTATTTATATTGAACCTTTCTTTATCGGTGAGAAGTTTTGCTTTTTGATAGCGTAAGTTAGAAGAGCAGATACGTTGAACATCACCAAAGGATTCTATGATCTTTAGAGCATATGATCTGCTTGAAAAGTTAGCTACTAATCCATGTTGAGAAAATTACCACCACATTGAGAAATTTACTGTCATGAGATACGATTCTACTTTTCTTTTTTACAGGGAACTGTAGACAAACTCCAATCTCTCTGAATTCTTCTATGGTACCGCACTTGATCTGTTAAGAAAGTGATTGACTTGAGAAAAAAAGGTTACTAACTCATGTTGGGAAAAAAAATATTAGGATAATTACAATCATGAGATACAATTATATGTATGGGACTATAGGATTGTAGACGGTCCCAAATCTGTGTCTTTCTGTGATCCCGTGACCATTACTTGATATGCTTGGAAAGTTACTGACTTGAGAAAAAAAGGTTACTAGCTCTAAGTCAATGACATGCATTGTGAAATATCGCCATTTGAGAATATTGTTTTCACGGAGGGATATGTTGTGATTTCCAAATGGGGACTATAGACGGATTCAAAGTTCTTAGTGATCACATTTGGCATACCCAATCACTTTTCGAACTTGTCTTTTTTGAGAACGGAAGAGAGAGCCACTTCTAGAGCTAGCTGTTGGGAAATATTGAATTTTCCAAGTGAAATTATTGGAAAGTAAGTAATTGCCAGTATGGTAATAAAAATTAGGTCACAATGTTTCTGTGTAATTAATGTTGAGACTACTATCCATTATACTATCATCGGGTACAATTCTATGCTTCTAACATGGGAATGTCGGAGGACTGAAAGTTCCTGTGTCTTTCTATGATTTTGTAACCATTAATTGATCTGTTAAGAAAATACTAACTCGATGAGAAAAACTAAAACCTTTAAACACGACAGCTGTTGAAAAACTTACAACATAGAGGATATTACAATGTTACTATCCTGAGATAGTAGTCTGTTCTTTAAACATGGACTATAGGTGGAGCCAAAGTTTGTGGTCATGTCTGGTGTACCTAACCACTTTTAGAGTTTATTTTTTTTCCTGCGACCTAGGAGAGAACCTCTTCTTGAGTCAGATGTTGGGAAAAATTGAAATTTCCCAGTGACTATTGATAGATCTGGGTGCATAGACAGATGCTTGCATCACCTAATTTAGATCCAGTGAAAAGCTTCTTCAATGCCAGTAAATATCAAGTTGAGCTTCAGCTTTTTACCATTTTAATTCAGTGAAGGTTTCTAGGTCCCCCATCATCATTCAATTGCATTTGTTATTTCATTAATTTAACGTTGCTTTTGGCGTCCTTTTCAGTGCGATGCAAATCCTTGGCAGTCAACATTTCATCCGAGGAGCAGCCGGAGTACAGATGTTGAGACTGGGTTGTGCATCGGATTGCCGGAGAGTTAAACTGATTCTCCATCACCCGACACAAGTCTAATAATACCCTGTTCAATAGAAATATAATAAGAATCACTGCAATGTCGCTCAGTGATATCTTTACTCAGCTGCATTCTCCTTAGTGCTGTCACGACAACATATACATATGATTCATGGAAATCATTTCAAAAATCTGAGATTAAGAATAGAAAAGGCAAAGAAAGATCAGATCAGAAACGAGCAATTAACCGGACACACATACGTGGAAGAATCGGCGAAACAAAAGAAATAACTTTCCTGCACCTTGGGCTTCACATTTGAATAACACAACAGTTGATTCCAAGAAAGAAACATCTCTGTTGAAAATATTCTCAAACAGCTTGCGTGCATTTCAAGAACATCACTGGACGCCTCTCTAAGGTTCGCTAAGCCAAAAAATTCTCATTCATCACCTCTACAATTTTCGTCAGCGTAGATACATGCAGACGTAAGGGTCACGGACATCTGCTATTCGGTAGACTTGTAAATTCATCCCAAATAAAGAGGGCCTACTTTTTTCATCTGACAAAAGTTCGCTTGCGTGTGAACTCATAAGTGATGACACGTTACCTAGGCGATGCCTTAATTGAAAGGGTTTGCAGGGACAGACATTTAAGGACACTAAGTGACGCACGAGATGACTGATATGTACAGTGCGTCCTGCTTAGCAATTAGTGAGAAGATACACAAATAAATAAGGGAAAAGAAATAAAATCTATGTATAAACTTTTTATTTTTCCCTTTCTGATCGCTTTTCTTGATAGAACTCCATGGACAAGCTTGGATTAGAAAGACAACATGCCCTTCTCCCTAGAGGAAAGGACCAAAAAACCTCTTGCACTTGTACCACAATTCTAAACCTTTCAATTGTACCAATTGAGTCTTAAATCTTTTAATCTTTTGACGATTTGTCAATGTAGTCTATTCCGTCAATTTTGATCGGAAATCACTGACAGAGACGCCGGCTGTCCTATGTGGCACGACCGACGCTGACATGTGGTATTTTTTAAATTTTAAATATTTTTATGAATTTTTTCATTTCTTTTTTTATTATTAAGGGCTAGCATGGGGCCGCTAACCACCGGCCAAGGCCTGGTGAGGGCTTGCGACCCTCGCTTAGATCTGGGCGAGGGTTTTCGATCCCATCGGCTACGTGTGAGGTAGCAAGCCCTCGCCTAATGGCCAGCGGGTTGACAACTATTTGAGTGATTCTTGGGGTATTTGGATTTCTGGATCTAGCTTAGGTGCCTTTTAGCTTTGTATAAGGTTCATTGAAAATGTTATTGTTGCCTATCGTCCAAGAAGCTCAATTAGTATCAGTAGTTGTAGAAGTTTGATTGAATCTTTGTTTTGAAGACGTGCCTCTTGTATTGAGTTTGTAGGGGGAAGAGACTCTTGGGCTAGCGTTGATGTTTGCTATAAGATGTGCTTAGTTATTGAAAAAAAATAACGTGGAATAGTCTAGTGAGACTAACTGGCGGGTAGAGATTGGTTATATGAGTGAGGGTGCCTGTTTTGGATAATATATTAGTACATATAACATTATTGATATACGATTTAATTAAGGATCCATGCTAGGGGTGAGCATGGTTCTAGGGTAAAACCTAAAACCTGAGAACCTGACCGGTGGGAACCGGTAGGTTCCGGGTTCCAAGGCTTATAGGGTAGGTTCTAGGTTCTAAAATTTGGATAACCTGTTACGACGGGTAAGTTCCCAATTTCACTTACCTGGAACCTGGAACCTAGAACCTAAAACCTAAACAATTGTTTTGTATTTTTTTTGTTTATGGCTTCGTATAATCCTGTGGTGTTTCATGGCATCAGATGATGGGTATATAATCTGAAACCACTAATATGAGCTTTCATTTTATGACTTGTTAATGTTTCATAATTTTTGTGTATCTAAATATAAATTATGGTCATTAGATGGATGATTCATTGCAATTGTTCAATTAATAATATAGGTGGAACCTGGGTAGACCCTGGAACCGACCTAGAACTTGTGATTGGGTAGATTTCATATTCCAAAAATGAAGAAACCTATTCTCATGGGTTGGTTTCAGGTGGAACTTGTACGGAATATGGAACCACTCATCCCTAGTATCGATTCACGCAATAATTTCTCATTTTAGTTATATTTATTTGAACCGTAATGTTAGGAAAATTAGTTTTTTGTATTCTTTTTTGTGAATGAAAGCCTGTTTAATATTATTGTGTTCATTTTTGTTTTGTTTAACTAAAAACAAAATAAAAAAATAAAAAATACCTATTAGACCTTGGAATCTACCCTGAAACCTATACCCGAGGGTAGGTTCCAGATTCCTAGTTTCGATGGGTAGGTTGTAGGTTCCAAAAAATGAAGAACCTGTATATGAGGATAGGTTTCAGGTTCCAGGTGGAACTTGTAAGGAACCTGGAACCGCTCACCCCTAGTCCATGCTATTTTGGTGTCCTTATCCTCTATATTTTTTAATTGATATCAAGATTTTTCCATCAAAATATTTCAAGAGACTAAAATCGTAGGAATGGGAACTTGGGAAAAATGAGGAGAATGTCATCAGCAATTAAAGGGGAGAAGCTTCCTGGGGCTTCTAATACAAGTCAGAGGGAAAGAAGATCAGAAAAAAAGGAAAATGTCTCTTTCTCTAAGCTAGACTTAAATGGGCTACTGGTCCTAACCAAGATGTGGAGTGATTGACATATGCATTTGGTTCGGCTTTGGGAGAATGTTTTTGAGAAAATGTAAAGGTTTTTGGGCTAAAAAGGTTTTCTAAAATGTAATGAGTATTTGATAGAGTATATTTTAAAAACACATTGGGAATTAGCTTCGACTTAAATGCCGTTTGATAAAGATTACATTTTCTAAAGGGCTTTTGCTAATTTAAAAAAAAAGAAAAATACTCTCAAACGGCAAAACTCAGCTACCGTCGATAAGGTCTAGCTGCCAGCCAGCCTCACCTAGGTCACCCTAAGGTCGCAACACTTCAGGTCGTGCAACCTCAAGTGACGGTCGTCTGGTTCCCATGACCCAAACGACAGCTAAAGTCACTCGCGACCCCTCAGGCAGCAGTTGTCGAGATAGCGCAACCCCCTAGGTAGCGATGACTGGCCTCCGTCCAACTCCTCTATTCAAACCACAAGGAAGATGAACAGTGCCAATAAAAATAGTGAACAGTGCCAAGACTTACATTCCAAGAATGCCACTTTCCAAAGGACCATCTGACATGCCTTGGATAAAGACCTTTGGAAATACAATTGCATTTCTCCAAAGTTTTCCAAAAAAATTACCAAATGTCATTTGCATATGCTAAAAAAACTATGGGAACCTAAAGCCCTTTGCAAATATTGAACCAAACGCACCTTCAACCCATTAAAACCTCATTATTTCTTAAACTATCTCACATTTTGCTATACATATAAATTTGGGAAGAAGATGAAAGTGAGGCAAAACTCGATTTTGGCTTAATAATATAGAAGATACATCAAAATTCCGTAAAAAAGAAATTGAATCATCCAATAGTCGAGATAATGGGGTCTTTAAAAGCTTCAGTTGATCCTATCCAAATTCTTTACATTAGTTACAAGCTAGGGGTGAATGTAATTGCAATAAACATGTATTGGGACCTATTCAGCAAAAGCCATAAGAAAAGCAAAGAAAGATAAATGAAAGGTAGAGTCACCCAAAATTGGAATTGGTCATGAAAGAATAGCAAATGAACCCTCATTCCAAATTCGTCATGTTAATTGCTGAAAACATGTCACAGCAAAGCAAGTATTAGGAGAACTTCATAGAATTGCTTAAGCGATAAACATTTTCATCTTCCTTGCTTAAGACTTGGATTGGAATTACCACGCTAATACCTTCTTTTAGGATAATTTCTATGAGTACACAATTGGAATGTGGTATATACTCTCCATCACAGGAAGGCACAAGGGTCCTGTTCACTGGGCGAGGGTCCGAGGGGTTGTCCTAGCAAGAGTCGTAGGGGGCAGTGCTCCCACGACTCCAGAGGGCTTTTATAGTTTGATGCTTATATATATATTATCTTTTTCTTGTAATTG